TCCTGAAGATGCAGAAACAGCGCGGTGGCCGAGTGTGCTTCCAAGATGTGCAGAAACCTTCAGGAGATGAGTGGGGTGAAACCCTGGACGCCATGGAAGCTGCCCGGGCCCTGGAGAAGAACCTGCACCGATCTCTTCTGGATCTTCGTGCCTTGGGCTCTGCCAAGACAGACCCCATCTCCGTGACTTCCTGGAGGACCACTTTCTAGATGAGGCGGTGAAGCGCATCAAGAAGATAGGCCACCACCTCACTAAGCTCCTCAGGCTGGGCTGGGCGAGCAGCTCTTTGAAGCTCACCCTCAAGCACAACTAGGAGGCCCCAGAGCCCAGAGGCCTCTGAGGGGCTCCTGCTCACCGGCATCGGGGCTTTGGCCTAACACTCTCCCTCCAGCCACTAGGCAGCTTTTTCACCTCTGGAGCCCCCTCCCAAACCTTGGACCAAATGAAAATAAAGCCTTTTGCTGCAAAATAAATAAATACGTATATTCTTTCAACTATATTCACATGAATTTGCCTAAATACCCAACTATTTAGAAATTGGATTGCAATACCGAATTTTACCAGAGGATGGCAGAGTAGGATCAAAACATGAAAATTTGCTGCTTTGTTTTCCTCTTAGGAGTTCTCAACTGCATTAAGTGATGTGTCTGGTAGAATTATAAAAACGTACTTGATAAGATCAGTCTGTTAGTTGTTTTTGTTAGTCTGTTTTATTGGAGGGGGAAAGGAGAGTGGGGAGAATTCTATCTTATGATATAAGTTATGATGTGAAAGTTCCTTGTGACATCAAATCAACACAAATGAAATAAGGCCTGGGCGAAAACTACGAACGCAAAAAGCAAACTAAGCTCATTTGTAAGAACTTCCAGACAGTTGGGAAGAAGAGAATTATTTACCCAACCTCAGCCTTCCATAGGACAGGGGACACTTGACAAGGTCCAGGAAGTTCTTAGCAGGAAACAGGATTCTTTTTCTACTAATGAAAATTCCCCATGTACATCCTGCTTAGCGTTCTGTGTCTTCTCTCCTTCCCCGTCTCACTTACCCAATCTCTAACAATCGCAAGCAATTTAGAAAATCTTTAATGGGAATTTCAGCTGTTGAGCAGGAAAATGCTAAAGGACAGAGAAAAAGAAAGGCCACAATTAATTTCATACACTGAGTGCCTGCTGTGTGTGGGCTGCCAGATTCTGAGGTTTCAAAGATAAACAAGACTGAAAACTGCAGGAGTCAAGAGCTACTGCCTGCCTCTCTGTCCTTCCCTCTGCAGGCTCTCTCACTAAGGGCTCCCATTACCTTGTGAACAAACACTCTCTGACTGTGAGGCTCTTTGGCTGGGTGCTAAATCCCTCTGAAAGGATCTAACACCTTACTTTCTCCTTCTACCTGGGGCTCCTAACCTTCTCCATCCTTGCCACCCCATAGTGAAGACTGAACCCTGGGCCTTTGGCCTGGACTTTCTTAACCCTGTTGTATTATCTTTTATTTTGACACAAGGTCTTGCTAAGGCTGGGCTCAAACTTGTGATCCTCCCACCTCAGCAGCCCAGAGCGCTGCAAATGGAGGCGTGCCACACCACACCCACCACCTGAATGGGTTTCTCCTAGCCCCTCTGTCCCAGACAGCCCCCCTGAATTCCCAGCTCCCTACCCTTGCAGCTTCCTGATACTAGGCACATCCACTTCCCAGCCCAGTCCCACCTCTCCTACAGATGCTCCTTGCCCTGCTTTTAATATCTTCTTTTGCCTCTGCACAAACGGAGTCCTGCCTTTGGGTTTGAGATGGCCTGCAGGTGGGCTTCTTAAGGATCAAGGCCCACAATGACAGGAAATCCTTTCAGGCACCCTGCACAGGCAAAGCATGGCAAAGTCAATTATCCATGGAAACTACCAATATTTACACTACAACTGTACATAATATTGTACCTCGCCATTTCTTGGTGGCAAAATAAACAAACTCTAAGATGCCAGAGCTACCTTTTGCATTCTTATTTCTTGGAAGTGATTCAACATACAGGTTGAAGAATAAATTCTGAATTTGTCATTCTTCACCCTGCTTCTGTTTACTCCCTGGTGATCTTGGATTAACTGCTTCACATCTCTGAGCGTCAGTTTCCTCATATATAAAATCAAATTAAGATTAGCATTTAGCTCATAGGTGTGTTGGGAGGGGCAAATGAAATAATACTGTCTATGAAAAACATCTTAGCATGTTTCTTGGAACTGAGTAAATGTTAGGATAAAATTACACAACTGCACATTAAACCATTTTCTTTTTTAAACTACTTTTTAATCATTTAAGAAATCACGAAGTACTAGCATTATACATTTTATTTATAGCAACTTTTTAATAAATTTTAATTCTGAAAATTTCAAGTGGCAAATGTATAAAATACCTAATTAATAAGAATCAGTTTTCACATCTGACCATTCAATCCTTTGGTTCTTATAGGGTTCTCCCTTTACAGCTGTTTCCCTCCGCCATTTGAAATGTTAGTTGGATTTCCCTTGGACTTTAGACTTAAAGCAAACACACCAATTAAAAATTTTTCAAGGTGGAAATAAGTATAAAATGAAAAGCAAACCATTCCTTCTCATCCAAAATTTTCTATTTTTCTCCAGAAATAATCACTGTCTTTACTAAGTTCCTGCCAATCTTTCAAGCTTCTGTACCTATTCTTTTTCATACAAAAGGACAGCATACTGGAATAACCCTCTGCATCTTGTTTTGTCACTTATGTGAATATCGGGCAACATAAGATATAGACCTACCACATGATTCCTAGTGGCTACATAAATGCTCACCCTTTGCTTAGTGTAACACACCAAGCTGCCCTATAGCAAGGCAGTAACATATGATTCCTGTTTACATAAATAACAATGTTTTATACATTTTTGTATGTATATATGTGCCCATGTTAGCAAGAAGATGTGGAGGGCAACTTTCAAGAAATGCCTCAATTAGGTCACCATCAATGCATTTTAATTTGAATAGATATTGCTATCAATGAGCCCCCTCATCAGTGGTAGCACAGTTCATGGGTCTCTAAGCGAAGTATATTAGTATCTGCTTGCTTGTATCACTCCACCATATATATTGTCCAACTCGAATACGGGTTCAATCTAACAGGTGAAAAAGTACTACCTCTCCACTTTATAAATTATGAGTCAAACATCATTCTCGTGTTATTAGCCATCTGTATTTTTATGAACCACCTTTGAAAATATTTCTCATAGCTATTCTTCTTCTTAAGAATTTGGAAGTGGGCCAGGGATTTAGCTCAGCAGCACCAAGCCTGCCTAGGAAGTGCAAGGAACTGAGTTAGATCCCCAGTACCAGAAAAACAAACAAACAGACAAACAAACAAACAAGAATTTGGAGGTGTTCTTTCTATACTAAAGGAATTAATCCACAGTCTGTTATATGTGGTGCAGCTTACAATTTAAAAAGGAATAATTTTACACACATATTTATCATATAGATATTCCATATATACAGCTTAAAAAGAAAAATTTTAAAATTCAGAGTGATTTTGTTGCTATAGTAAATGTCATTCTTGCAGTTTATTTTATTTTATTTATTTATTTATTTATTTATAGAGGGGATCGAACTTGGGCCCTCATGCTTGCAAGGCAGGCAGTGGAACCACTGAGCCAAACCCCCAGCCCATACTATTGTATTTTAAACATAAATTAAGCAAGGGCTGGGGATTTACCTCAGTGGTTCCACTTTCTGCCTCATACGTGCGAGGTCCCGAGTTCGATCCCTAGTACCAAAAGAGTAAAAAATAAATAAAATAAAATGAAATAAATTAAGCAATATCAACACATGAATCACTTATTTACTATATTTATCCCTTTATATATGTGACCCACAGATACAATAATACTTAATATCATTTTATTAAAATTTACTGTACTAGGGATCAGGTTCTAGGTGTCTTGCTTGAAGAACTGGGTTTTGGAGTTTATCTCTTTTTTTGGTACCAGTGATCAAACTTGGGTCCTTGCACTTGCGAGGCAGGTGGCAGAACCACTGAGCTAAGTCCCTGGCCCTGGAGTTTACCTCTTTTAATAAATCTGTGCTAATCAAAAAAAGTTGATAGTAGCAAAGAAGTAAAATGATAGCATCTTTTATAAATTCCAGAGTGATGAATGCTGACATCAGAAAAAAATGACTGTTATCTAATTTTGCAAACTCTGTATTTTTCAATACATAATGTCCTAAGTAAAGCATTGCTAATGGAGAATATGTCCCATAAGTAACAATTTTCAAAAAAAATTTGCAAACTAAATATACAATTCACAGATAATTATAACTGTCATGAGTGGCATCTAGTTAATACCATACACCGAGTCTTAAATATAAATCAGCAGTCTAAAGATAAATTTACTTCCCATACTGAACTATATCTGCTATGTCTCTAATTCATCACGCCTTCACATATTCATCTCTTATTCTTAAAGCATCATATTTTATTTAGTCCATTCCAAACATGACAGATTTTTCACCTACTATTTCCAGTAATCTAAACATACACAGTATTTATTACACTATTAATCTTCTGCAGCAGTATATTTTGGGAAATAAATACAGGTCCTGGAAAAATGAGAGCCCAAACAATGGTAAAAGTAAAGATAAAGCCAGGCATACTGGTGCATGCACGTAATCCCAGATACTTGGGAGGCTGACCACAGGTTTGAAGGCAGCCTGGGTTGCAATTCTATCTTAAAAATAAAACTAAAAGGATGGAGGTACATGTAGCTCAGTGCTAGGTGCTTCCTTAGCATGCATGAGGCCCTGAGTTCAATTCCCAAGACTAAGCATAACCAACAAAAAAGTGAAGGTCAATGTTATTCCAAAGTAATGACATGCTCCCAAGTCCCTGGAGATTTAGGCTGCCCTAATCGAGGTGAAATGATCTCTCTTGACCTAATGCTATTAGTGAAGTTAGCCGATTAGGCTTAAAATAGGATAAAATGATTCTAGAGGTCATCTGCTTACAGACGTGCAGATAGAGATGTTTCTGCTGTCTTTCAGCTTCTTTTGCTCCACATATGTTTTGATTTGTGAGAATAACATGACTTAGAATACTGAGAAGATCCAGGACTTTGAGAGTGGGGAGACATCCTCCGCATGAGGTTCCGGGAAATGGCTCTGTGGAGATTCTTCACTGAAGTCCCTGCAGCCATGGTGATCACCCAGGGATGATCCAGGGCCTGGCCAGCTGACATCCGATGACTCTCCTCCAAATCAGCAGTTTGTCTATAAAGTCCTTTGCCAACTAGGAAATACTTGGCCAAGGCTAAGAAGAAATATAAAAATAAAATAAAACAAATTGCACAAAATAAATTAAAACAATGAGATTCATATTCACAAATAAAGCAATGCCTATTAAATCCAAAATCTTTTCCAACAAGCAATTTGAATGCCATGCTATTATAATATATAGCAGCCTAAAACTTCACTTTTGAGAGAAGAAAGATTTCTTTAGACAAAGAAAAACATGGCAATTCTTCCCCAACTCTCTGACAGAAGAATGGGAATTTCTTTCCGGATAGCTGTCCAGCATGCTACTGTTAGCAACAAAGTTCCCATACCCCATCTACAGGAGCTGAGCCAGGCACTGCAGCTGCTTGGACGGACCACATCAAGCTAGTGTTGGACCACACTGGTCATCTCTCAAAGTCCCTGTGACTCGGAAATGAGCTAGAGTGGAAAGCAGACCAGATTCAGGAATCATCAACTTTTCTCTCCCTTTGAAAGCTTACTTAGATACTCAAGATGCCACGGCCTCCACAGCTGGAAGGAGAAGGGCAAGAACAGAAGGGACAACTCAGCAGAGGATCTCCCTGCAGGGCCTTTCTTCCAACACACAGGGCTTTCTGTGTCCCAGTGAACTGATATAAATGGGACTGGGCCGAGATATGACCCAAAGCAATATGCACAACTAGCTCTTTGATGTTTCACCAACTCACTCTGTCAATATTTACAGCATTTGCCCAGACTTTGACTACAACCAGAGCAATTTACAGTGGCAACTGCAAAGATGGGGACAAAAATGGGCCGTTGATTTGTACTTCAACTCTTTTGCACTTCCTACCAACACAAAGAGCTGAAGAAGAAGCTCAGTGGTAGAACATTTGCCTAGCATGCTCAAGGTTGTGGTTTTGATCCTAGAGAGGGGAAAAAAATTCCCATCACCAATGCCTAACACAAACCTGGAAAAAAAAGCCTGAAGGTTTTCTATCCATTTCTTCTAAAAAGGTGAACATGGAGAAAATTGCCCACACATTTGCTGTATGTAAAGCACAGTTTTCAAGTATTGTATTTGTTTCTTAATTCTGTCTAGAAAAGATGAGAGAATCTTAACAATCCACTGTCTTTGCCCTTGAGTAGGAAAAGAAAAAACTCCATGCATACATGTCTCTCACTCCAATCTCTTAGCATCTGTTAACGTAGAATTTGAACAAGAAACCAGTAAATAAAGAAATTATTCCTCTTTTTTGCCTTCAGTTTATTTAGGTAAATGAGATGTAAAGAACATTTATTACCAAAACAAGTGTTATAAGATGAATGAACATGTTCATCAAATACTCACACATGGGAAAAATAAAAGCAAACCTGTGAACGACATGTGGGCTGGATACGATGTACACCTCTGTGGCAACGTCTCCTTGGCCCTGCATCCAGACACACTCACTGGGGTCAAAGACAATTTAAATGAGGGTTGAACTCGATGTCTCCACTGGAAGATTTTTAAGACGAGCAAATGAATCTATCTGGAAAGAGTATAAAATATGTGCAGCAAGGTTTATGGGGAGCTCATTAAAATGACGCCAAATGAATGTACATTAAAATGCAGTTTCAGAAAATAACGTAACCGGTGTGCTGGAAAAAAGTTCTCCAGCCAAAGCTCATTATTCAAACATGAGTTACAAATTACAGAATCCTTGAGCCATAAAGAACCATCAGAGAGTATCTACGAGTCAATTTCACATTACATATTACAAAAAGGCAGATATGGGAAGAAAATGAACTTCTATTTTATTTTTATCTACTCAATTCAAAATTTATTTTTGACTATGTTTAATAAAGTATAAAACCATTATGTATGTATGTACTTATTCTATAAATGAATAAAAGCCGAGTGTGGTTAATAATGTTATATGACCAAAAGCAATTAGGAGACCGCACATGTATTCCCACTCTGTACCATCTGTCACCCAAAGGCATCATTCAGTGCTACTTTAGCTTTCACTGTTGGATGAAGCTTTCCTCATTATTTCTCCTCAAAGGCTCAGCCTTTCTCATTACCTAAAAATTGCCATGGCTTGGCTTTTGCCAGCAGTCTTGGGTCGACACTGCTCTGGGTCAGCCTGTCATCCTATCTTGATGTAAGGAAAGTGACATGGGCCTGAGGTCAGCAGATCCAGATTAGCCAGGCTGTCCCATCACACACAGCACTAGCACTCCAGGATCTCAGGAAAATGAGGGTCCTCCTATCACTTTCTCAAGGTGGTTCTTAGGATCAAATCAAACCAAGGGTAGAAAAATGGTTCCCAAAGTATAAAATATGCAGATCATTGCTATTTTTGCTTTTGTTATTATTAAATCTTCAGACCTTCCTCCTCAGTTTTTTCATGAACATATTCACTGATTATATCTAGAGAAGTGAAATAGGAAATTTACCCAGTACTTCTCTGACCAATTCCATATATTTACTACCATTGTAAATCTGTGCCCTCAAAAAAAACAATTAGCCTGGATAGAGTGGTTCAGTGTACTTGCCTAGCATATGATAAGACCTGCGTTTAATCTCCAGCACAGCAAAACTATAACAACAACAACAACAACAACAATAATAATAATAATAATAATAAGGAGGAGGAGGAGGAGGAGGAGGGAGAAAAGGGAGGAGTGGCAGGAGAATAGTAGTTGTTCCAGGTTAAGAGGTACTAAACCTTATAAAAATAAATGTGAAACTTTCTTTCATTTAAAGATCATTCAGTTAATTTAATTGCAAATAAATTACAATACTTGTGAATAGATCAGCTCTTTTTTTTTTTTTTCTATTTTCTTTCTTCATGCCCTCATCTGGCTGTGGTTCTTGGCCTATTTTTCTTTATTTTCCAAAAGAAACTGGCTAAATTATATAAAACAACAATAACCCCAAAAAGTATAAAACTGAAATTTAATACTAGCTATTAAACTACTCACTGCCTTTGGAGGATTAAAAGAAATGTAGAGAATGTTCTATTATATTCTGTATGTCTGGACTCTTTTAGCTTAAGAGAAATAAGGAATGATTGTAGTTTACTACTCTAAAAGCCCTCAAAATACCGTTTATCTCCTAAGGTAGTAATTTTTCTTAAAAATTTCTATTGGTGACAACCCTGTGTCTTGTATTTTCCTTCTTTCTTTTACATTAGTGTGAAGTCTCTTTTGCTAACAATACAAAAATCACGAGTGAATTTAAACAGGAAATGTTTTCTGTCGATGTTTGTACACCAGTGTTTTTCCTTGTCACCTAGCTAATATGGTTAGAAGATTTGTTTTATTATCAAATTATTTTACTTCAAAAACTACTGTGATTCTCTGTAATCTAGTTAGTTAAGAACATATGATTTCCAACTTAATGGCAAGAATACTTATAATTTATTATTTGTATTAAAATTCTAACACCAGCTTTTTCTCACCGTTCCATTTAAAAGATAAAAATGGTACACTCAAAAAGTAAAGTTTGTACTGGCAAAAAAAAAAATAAAGCTAATAACTTACTTAATATTCAATGTTTCAATCTCATTTTCCCAGGGTTATAGTAATAATGGGCAGGGTTTGATGGTGTGTGCCTGTAATCCCATCTACTCAAGAGACTGAGACAGGAGCATGGGAAGTTTGAGCCCAAAATGAGAAATTTAGTGTGACACTAAAATTAATAAAGGGCTGATGATGCAGCGTGGTGATAAGAGTCCTTGTTTAACATGTGCAAGGCCTTGGATTCAATCACCAGTACTGTAGGGATGGAAAGAAAAAGTAACAGTGAAAGAAACAGCTAACACAGAAATAACACTGACCCTCTATGGACCAACATATACAACTACTCTAAGCACTCACATCCATATGTTAACTCTTCTGATCTTTACAACAATCCTATTAGGTACATTGTATAAATGCAGAGAGATATAGCAAAGTTTTTAAAATGACCAAAGTTACACCTTTAGTAAATAGCAGAACTGATTGTGCAATTCAGCCAGCATTGCTCCAGACTATGGTATTACACTGCCATGCATTACAAAGCACTTGTACCAACACACATGCATTTGCATCTGTGCACACCACACACACGCTCTGAAATCCTCCCATTTCACTCGTCAATTGTCAATTTATTCCGCTTGATGTGCTTCTGTATATGTTGTTCTATTGGGAATGTGTTAGTCCCCACTCCTCAAGAAACTCCTACCTCTCCTCCAAGGCAGTACCAATGTCTCTTTCCTCATGGAATCTGACCTAACCCTCCAAAGCAGGCACTGGCTCCTTTCCATTGTTTTATGGACTTTAAGACTTTCTCCCAACTGTATTAAAGCACTTATATTTAGAGAGATACATAGTTTGAGCCCAGCATAAGAATTTTAGTGAGACCCTAAAAATAAAAAAGGGCTATGTACTCCCCTGCCAGGCTCCTTCTTCCACCTACAAAGCACATCACTCCAATCTGTCTGCATCGTCATATCCGTGTCTCTAGTTTTGATTTGCTTTCCTACTATAAGGATCTTTGAAGTCGTATTAATGGGTCTATGCTGATAATCCAGAAAATCTCCACTTCTAAAGACCATTAGTTTCATCAAATCTGCAGATCTCTTTTGCCATGGTAGGTGGCATTCACAGGTTCTGGGGTAACAGACATCTTTGGTGAGCCATTGTTCTGTCTAGCACACTTAAGCTTCCAGAATCAATAGTTACTCTAATGTTTAAATAAATTTGAAATTACTAGGCTTGTCCAAAAGTCCTAAGAATCCAGAGGCCCACCATACCATTGGTAAGTGTGTGCAGATCCTGGGGAGCAGCTGTGAGGACCACAGTGGTGCAGCTGCAAGCAGATCCCAGCCAGGGCCCTGTCCCACCCCCAGAGGCATAGTCACACCTGCTTAAACTACAGGCCTCCCTAGGAGAGAGCTGCACAGGCACACAAGCTTTAGCCAGAGACCAGCCATACCATCAGCCACAGCAAAGGGCCCATCTGGAAAAGAACTACACAGACACACAAGCAACAGCCAGAGGCTCACCCCGATACCATTGATAAGT